CCACACACACACCTCTCTCTCTCTCTCTCTCTCTCTCTCTCTCTCTCTCTCTAATAAATAAAAAAAAATTTAAAAAAAAAATAATAATAATTCTTAAAGTCCCATAAAACCTGACTTGTTTTGAAAAACAATAGTCTATCACCTCTATTGATATAAATATCTTAACAAAAGGTAGAGAAACATCAGTTATTATATCTGTTATTTTACGTGGAAGTAAAAATAAAGTCACAATTCATTTTATGAATGAGAATACACAGCAAGAGGTTAAGAGGTTTGGGCAGGGTCACACAGAAAGAGCTAGAACCCAAGTCTTGTACCTTAAATGTTAGCAAACCCCTCTCCCCTTACTGCATAATCCTTTAAATCTCATCTTTTGAAGTACTAACATAGAATAATTTCTTAGAAATAATTTTTATAATGACAACAGTGTGAGAGACTGGGCTATAGAGATAACATTGAACTATCCTACAGAGAGGATCACCGAGGGTGATGATATTTAACAATCCTATTTGGAGACTTCTATTTAGAGTTCAAACTTTTTCAAAGGTTTATAAATCAGGAAGCCCAACAGAAGTAGAGGGCATAGGACTGGGCAGATGGTTTAGCAGCATAAGTGCCTGCCTGGGTCCCGAGGGCTTAGCTCTTATAATAAAATTAATAATTTTCTTACCTGCACAGCTCTCACAAGAAAATTAATCATTTCCTTACCTAGCATAGCATCTCTGTAAAGATAAACTTCAAAAATACGGGGGAGTCCTTCACAGCACACTGAGCAACCAGTAAATCATTCGCAGCCTCTCATTGCTTGTGTTTATAAACCGTGCCAAGCAGGTTTTCTATGTATTGGGCCTAAACTTAAAATCATCTTAAAGTACTTAGGTTTTAATTTTTTGGCTTTATTTTTTACTTCTCAAAGTTTGCCAAACACACTTCACAAGTCTGGGAGCTACAAAACTTGTAATTCTTCCAACAATGATTGTACCAGGATATGCTTGGGTCCATGTGGTTTAAGTGAAAATCGAATGGCTAGGGGTAGAATTACATGTAAACATAGGATAAGTCAGCTTACAAAGTCACAATAAAGGCACATTATGTGACAAGAGCAGGAGTAAAATTAAGTAAAAATTTCTGGCAAAAAAAAAAAAAATTAGAAACTGAAAAGTTGGAAAGAAAAGCAATCATTACCAAACGTGCTGTGGTTATTTAAAAATCACTTCTGGGTGCATATTGCTTATTATTCCTAAATTTAAAAGTTTTTTTGTTGTTGTTGTTGTTGTTTGTTTGTTTGTTTTTAATTTTAAGGTGAGTAGAACAATTCTCTCTCAGATCTTTTTGGGCGTCGGACTCTCAGGGTCCCCGTTGACCGAGGGTGGAGGGGCGCTAAGCGATCATTTCGAAGCCGGACAGGATCTCAACGCTGACTCGGGGTGGAGTGGGGCGGAGTGCGCCCCAAAGCTGGCAGAGCGGGGTGAGGCGTGCTGCCGAGCTCGCCGGAGCTGCAAACACGCGAGCCCGGTGGCCTCGGGGACCTCGGCGGACTTGGCCCTGGGCTGCAGCGAGAAAGGCAAACTCCAAGGTCCGGGCTTGGAGTCACCAACGCTCCTTCCCGGGTCCCGACCGGGAGTCCCCTCTGCGAACAGGTCTTTGCAGGGCATTTCGTCCTATTTTTTCTTTAGGGCCACTGAAACTACCCAATGCCCTCCAAGAGGGAGACAGCACCCCGCGGGCAGCCGGGGACCCCAGGGCCCGCACTGCGCGGGAGACATCTACAGCCCTGCGGAGGATCGCAGCGGTCTCGGGTCCCCTTGGACGCTGGCTCTTGGGGCGCACCGACAGACGCTGCAGCGAAGGGGCGCAGGCGCGATCTAGCTCCGTTCCAACAGTAGGGGCGTTGCTGAGCCCCACAACCTGATCAGCTCAGGAGATATCTTTAAAACCACTTACCTGCCTCTAGAGCAGGGATGAAAACCTGCCACCGCTCCCTGGGACTTCACAGGAGGGAGAAGGAAGGGTGTCTGCAACTTTTACAGGCTCCGCCTTTCGGCCCGCAGCTGCCTACTTCCAGGAGACGCCCTGGGAAGCGCGCGAACGCCCCGCGCGGAGGAAGTTTGGGCCTCGGCGGCCACCGCTCGCGCCAAGATGGCTGCCCCCAGCGAGCGGCCCGCGCGCGGCTGAGGGAGAGCACGGACTCCGCGTCCCACCCGCATGGACCTTCGCGCGGAGTTCCGGCGGTGGAAGGCGCAGCGCCTGAGCAAGGCGGACCTCAGCCGGAAGGGCAGCGTGGACGAGGATGTGGTGGACCTTGTGCGGCTCCTGAACGCGCGAGAGCAGTTCTTCACCACCAGTTCCTGCGCCGGGCGCATCCTCCTCCTGGACGGGGTGAGGCCCCCGCGCCTCCCTGCGGCGTCTTTGTGTAGGAAACTTCGGGATGAGTTAGTCGGCTCGCTGCTCCTGGAACAGCCCGTTAACCTCCCGGGGGTCTGGTGAGGTTGGCTCTGGCGCCTTCGGGCAGGGCCGGCCGGCGTCGGGCGCACCTGGACCCCGCGATGGCGGGGCTGCCGGCCGAGAGCTGCCCGAGAGGCCGAACGGTTAAGGAACGGGGGGGATTTTCGGGGCGGCGAGGCGGGGGCCACGCGGAAGACTGCGTTTCAGCCGCCCGATCGAGTCGCCCTTTCTCCAGGCTTAAAACCGCCAGCGTCAAGGCGTGCATTGCCTGCTGCTCGCCGACCCCGTCCGTCCGGCTTTGGTCGTTTCTCCGTATTAGTTAAGCTGTGGTATTCTAGGCAGCTGAATTTAGAGAGAAATTAATGTACAGTCAGACAGGGGCCGGGCCCTCAGGGAGGTCACCGCAGAAAATAAAGGCGATCGGAATCGTGGCCGGAGGTCCGCGGAGGACGCGAGCTCGCGTTGGCCGGCCCGGGCCTCCCGGGCTTCCAAGGCAGTGAACAGCCACTTGGGGTGGTACCGCGGTTAGCACCGCCTGCTCCAGCATGCAGCTAGGCCTCAGCCCCCAAGCCAGGGACCAGAGCATCCGCTCCTCAGGATGCCCTCCTTCTTTCCTTGTACTCTTGCTAGTGACTTATTGTCCTATTGGATCAACATTAGCCAAGCAGCTGTAATTGTAATCCTTCGTAGGTTGACTGAAGTTTGTCTCACCCGCGTTGTGTGCCCAGGTTGTGATTGTGCTGTGTAAATTACCCCTGATGCGGGGTCTTGGTCACTACGCACTGAGGACCCCTCCCTCTTTCTTTACAATAAATCTTGCCTAACTTCTTCGATTCGTGACTCTGTTCTTTGATGTTGTGAGATGTCCAGCTTGACACACTTGACGTCTTAACCAGGCTGGGAGTTTTACTTCTCCCATGTCAGTAGTAAGAAAGAATGAGTGGTGAAGTCCTCAGGCTTGGAAGTGATAATACTTCGAATCTAAACCAGTTATGGGAATGATTTGGCTGTATGACCTTAGGGATTGAGTTATCTATTAACAGATGATAAAAAGTATGTGTTCCACAGGAATTTTGTTTGGAGACAGTGAGGTCATTTAAACATTTAGTGTCATGCCAGGATTGCGTTAATTTATGCTTTAAAGATGGGTGTGCGTTCATTTTATTATCAGTATTCCTAATATTGAAGATAGCCTATTGATGTGTTCTTTCTTTAGGTCCAGCATTGAGTATTATTTTCAGATTTTTTAAAAAAATATATTTAGTACAGGGTCTCATTATACAGATGGGACTCATAGTGATCCTCCTGTTTTTCAGCCTCCCAAGCGCAGGGGTTACAGGCATGCGCCACTATGCCCAGTGTCACTTACCTGCTCATTGTGCCCCGGCAGCAGAGTAGGCACAGGGGACCCATCCCTGTTCCCGCATTTGCCTAAGCAGGCGCTTTAATCTGCTGAGCTATCTGCCCTGCCCTATTTTCAGATTTTGTAAGTTAGCAAGGCCTACTCTTTACATTGCTTCCATTTCACTCCAAGCATGGACACTTACTTGTCCACGTACATTCTCTTCCTTCTTTCCCACTGCCCTATTTGACCCGAGTTTTTGCAGTAGTTTCAAAACAAATCACTGAACGACTGTTGTCTTTCCTACAAGCCATGTTTTGTACTAACAGATCTACTTTTCCAAAGCAGAATTCTTTTGGTCACTCACACACATCCAATCCTCTGCCATCCCTTTCAACCCTCTTTTCCACTGTTCATCTGCTAGTTACTGTAACTGAACTATTTTCTATCTTGTATTTACCTGCTTTTGCCTTTGCTCATGTGTTACCCCTTTAATGTTTCATCCATCTTTGCATTTCTAAGTTGTGATGCCTAGAACACACATCTTCTGAGCACACGCCCACACTTGGTAGTAATGACTGCTTCTGACCTGGCTCAGGACTTTATCCAAACCTCTTTTCGTTTTATTTATTATTGTATACCTTCTGATATATTTTTAGTCTGCCTTACTTCAGACAGGATTTGGAGCAGCTTACAAAGAGGAAACAAAAAAAAAAAAGAAAAATATGGATAAAGAAAATATGTATAAGATGACATCAGTTTCCAAGTCATTAGATCCTGTAAACTTGGAAAAGGTGGACCAGCATATGGTTCTGAGGTGTATAGGAGCCATCATAAACTCAGATACATAGGTTATTAAAATCTTTATTCTGGACATACACAGTTCTTACTGGTTCCAAGGCCAGATAGCAGTCTCCTGAGGGCCCGTTGCGTAGTTTCTTTGGAGAAGTACAGTGACTTCTGTGCATGTGGTTTCTTGTAATCTTTCAGTGTCTTAAGGGCAGGATCTGTGGATATGTAATAGAACTTCGTAAATAAATGTTTGTCTGGCATCACTGTTAAAATGTTTGCCTCCTTCAAACTTTGAGCTGTCAGTTCTAGTTCCCAGGGGGACTACACATAAAGTGTAATATAGAAATCTCAAATGTATGCCCACACAAGCCAGGAACATTTTTTAAAACTGAGCAACACAGATGTCTATAAAGAATGGT